TGTGCCCCCTCTTAAACACGTCATCGGCAGAGGCACTGGTGGGCTCAGCCCTGGCCAGGAGTGGGTCCAGCCTGGAGCTGGGGGAACTTCAGCAGCTTATCACAGGGGCCATCTTGGGAGTACTTCCCCTTTCTCCCCCCTGCCTCCCCCCACCCCAACCAAAAACTTGGATATGGGGGAACCTTTAGCAGTTACTTACAGGAGCTGTTACTGTAGCCCCTCCCTAGCTACCAACCAAACCCACCACACAAACCCACAACAGATACCACTTATAAACAGAGGCCCAGAACATCGAACTATTTTAGAGAACGGTGAGAATGCAAAACACTTCTTAGGACACAGTAACATACTTAAGAATCACAAATCAAAAAAAGCCAAACAAATAAGAATCAGAACAAAGATGTACCATAGAAAAAGAACAGAAGAGATGGAAATATTGTCAAAGTTTTACCTGCAGTAGCATGGTATTTTTGTTAAATAAGACTCCTAGGTGATGCAAAACATGCTCCACAACAGAGAAAATTAGGAAGTTCAATAATCCAAATGACCTGGGAGAAAAACCACTTCCTTACCCAAATTTTCATTATTTGCCAACTGATGGAGATAAAGAGGAACATGTAAGTGCCAAATTAGTCTTCAACGTGTAACAGAGAGGTGAGGAAGTTTGTTATACATAAAAGGTGGGGTGCGATGAGGGAAGAGGATATTTTTTTTCTATCCAGAGGACCAGCAATAGCAGAGCACACTACAAAGATGCATGAACATGCAGAGAACAGTCCAATATCCACAGACTCATTTAATCAGCTTCAGAAGTTTTCCTATTTTAGTCAGTCTCTTTTTACAGCCTCATATTAGCAACTCACAGTCACTCTCTGATGGTCTGTCCCTGAAGTTTGTGGAAAAAGTCCAACATGTATGACTTCATTTTGAGCTATTCTATTTTCTACCCCTTTTCTTATTCCAGTCACTGAATCTATCTTATTTACCCCTCTCTGTGATGATTCTGTTATTTTCAGTGCTAGGAGTGCTTCCAAATTTCTGTCATCTGCTACTTTAAAACACACACTCTTAGGCCATGCATTTAGTTTAGTTTATTAAAACAGTATTGACCTCAATAAACAGTGCTATACATATCAAGAATTTAGAGCTCTGGAACAATCCTGTGCATTTATGCAAGAGATTACAGTTCTAAGGAACACCATGACATCTGCCTTAATCTGTCCTGCTTGTCTAAAATGGGTAGGAAGCAAAAAATAATATCTGGAATATTGTGTCCAGTGCTGGGGCCCCTCAGTTCAAGAGGGACAGGGAACTGCTGGAGAGAGTCCAGCGCAGAGCCACGAAGATGATGAAGGGAATGGAGCATCTCCCTGCTGAGGAAAGGCTGAGGGAGCTGGGTCTCTTTAGCCTGGAAAAGAGGAGACTGAGGGGTGACCTAATCAATGTTTATAAATATGTAAAGGGTGAGTGTCAGGAGGATGGAGCCAGGCTCTTCTCTGTGACATCCAGTGACAGGACAAGGGGCAGTGGGTTCAAGCTGGAACATAGGAGGTTCCACTGGAATATGAGAAAAAACTTCTTCACGGTGAGGGTGACAGAGCACTGGAACAGGCTGCCCAGAGAGGGTGTGGAGTCTCCTTCTCTGGAGACATTCAAAGCCCGCCTGGATGCGTTCCTGTGTGATCTGATCTAGGTGTCCTGCTCCGGCAGGGGGATTGGACTGGATGATCTTTCGAAGTCCCTTCCAATCTCCAACATTCTGTGATTCTGTGTAACATCATTTGCACTCATGCATCCTTGTACCAATTTTATTTTCATATCTAAAGATGAGAAACTGACCTAGCTTAGGAGTAATTTAGCAAAAAGGTTAGTTTAAAATCAAATGAATCCCCAACTGGTGCACAGCACAAGCACATGAATGCATGCTCCAACACATAAGGAGGAGAGCGGTGAGGGCAGAAACAAATGGTCAAGAAGGAAACACTGGCTCTTTCGATGGGAGTGCTGGTTAAAAGCAGAGTGACAAGTCCACACATATATTACAATGAAATTCTAGTTTGCTTTGTTATGAAGGTGTGCACAGATGTCTGTAACAGTGATTTCCAGCCCAAGGCACTTATGAATCCTATATCTTCAGAAGTTTTGAATCCTAGAGCTGCATAGTACAAACCTTGAGCTATCTGCATCTCTTGAGAGGCGCTGGCTCCTCAGATCACTACCTTCAGTACACTTAAAGCACTGCTGTGACATTAGCCACAGAACTCTTCTTCAGTCTTTAATGAAGCAAACAAACAAAAGAACTTCCAAAATTTACTTCAAGAGTACAAAATCAAGGGTGATTTCTGAACTACCATGCCTCTGGCTTAACAGTTCTGTGAGATACCGGCTTTCATAATGTTTTTAAAAAATACTACAAACATTTCAAAAATGTACTCTCTCAGCTTTAGTAAGAAAACATGTCCTGCTTCCAACATGCATTTGTATGACTCAGTAATACTCACGTGTACTTTAGGTGTTGGAGGAAGGCCATTACTAATTGGTTTCTAGAAAATGAAAGTTAAAGAGTATCTTTAGACACACATGTGCACATATGCACGAACACACATATTTTCCTCCCCATACTACAGCATAACCAAAATACAAGTCTGAAACATTTTTTTACAATGCTGTTAAAAGCACTTGATAAATAATTGAGCATAATTATTTCAGGAGAAAATAAAAAGCCAATGCTTATATCTACATAAGAAAAAGACACAAAACCCTCCTTGCATATTTTTCAAGACAATAAATAGGGCTGTGTTGTGTATTTCTACACTATGCTAAATGGAAGGCACCAGGCACCTACTGGGACACTGTGCTGTGTCCAGTGCCACATGTAGTAGATCTGAGAGCAATGGCTTTCACAATTTTAAATGCTAAGCTCAAAGCAGTTCAGGAAATCATACTTTCCAAAGTACTGCCAGTATTATTGACACTTCCTTAAAAAAAAAACAAAAACGCACCCAATGTTTCTGCTCTATTTCCTCTTCACTTCCTCTCAAAAAGAGCGACATTTCCAACCTTATCTTTAGAAGAAGCCCCCAAAGGTGCAATTTCAGGTTACATTTAACCTCATCTAACTACAGATGTCCCACTCTCTCCTATCTCTCATTCCCACTTTTGCTTTTGCATCATAATAAGACAGTGACCACTTTGGAAGACATTTGCTGCTTTTATGGAAAAACCTCTCTTGGAAGAGAAAGGGATGTAGGAATATTCCTCTTCCTCAGCTCACAGCTGGATCAGAGTATATGTGGTGTAAAACTGCAGCCTCTCCATGAGTGCAACTTCACATGAGTATATGTAGCTCAAGTCTGACACTAAACTCAAGCTTCTAAACCCTGATACCTGGAGCTCCAGAAGCCAGCAGGCAAACAGCTTGCATATGTGGACCCTCAGTCTACATTTCTCCATCTTTTTTCCCCTGAACACCAAAAAGCCTGTACGCCTACATCTGGGATAGGAGGAGGACTCATTTGGGAACAACCTTGATTCAACTCTTTTCCCAAGGCCAGCCAAATCCTCCAGCAAGCCATGAGGTGGCAGCATATTCCTTAATTTCCTCATTTGCTTAAAAAGTCATGGCTCAGTACAAACACATCTCTCTCGAAGGATCTTGCTCTCGTTACATGTCTCTAGTATGTGAATACAAACAAGTAAATCTTGTATATCAATGATTATGTTAGTTCCTAATTAAAATTAAATACTGAACTCAAGCTTCAGCTTAAGACTGTATCACAATTAGACGACCTAGCAAAATTGTGCTTGGATTCAAAGTAAACAAGGTGCCATGCACCATTATTTCTATAGTAAAGAGTGTGCCTTTTCCTTTTCATTACGCACGTATAAAACAGTTGAGACAACTTTAAAATAACAACTTGAATCTTCAATACCTACCAGTATTTCCTTCTTTTCTTTCCTTGAAAAATTAGTGTCTCTAGCTTCACTCTGTGGATGTGGTGATCCCTCTCTTTCACCATTTAGTTGCACAGAAGTGACTCCATTACCTATAAAGATTAATATTTAAAAATGGGTTCTTCTACCTTCAGCTCAAAGAGTAGTCTAGTCTAAAAAGAGGGCTAAAATTTCCACTTATGTCAGAACATGTTCCAATACCCTAATTTATTTCTAAAGCAAATGCCTTCCTACATGTGCACACATAATCATCTATAGAGCCACATTCAATCGCAGTCCATGGCTTTTGGGAATTAATATAACAAATCCATTGTGGGCATAGAAAGGGATCCAGTCACGGTTATGAGGAAAAAGGTATTTAGCATACCTAAAGAAAAACTCAGCTATAGCTAATGCTTTGATTATCGATCCTTGATAAATAGCCTTGAGGCATTTCTTACCAATGGATGTTTACGTGTTACAGTGAAATCAGTAACACATCAACTGCAGTACTAAATCTATAGCAAGGACCAGCTAGCAAGGTGTCAACTACGAGTCAGACATTAAGCTTGCTTAAAACAAGCCAGTCCAGGACAACTCTCAAAAGCATCAGACTTCAACAAAGGCATAAAAGGAACTGCTTGAGCCAGCAGTAAACAAGCACAATTACCTGTTATACTACCTAACCCAGTTCATTACATAGAAAAGCAAACTTTGAAAGCAAAACTCCCTTCTTCACATGTCAAATGACAACAACAGTTGACACACAGGGCCAGAACCTGAAACCTACATACAGGAAAACTTTTTTATCCCCTGTGACAATTCTGATATGCTAACGTTATAAGCCTGCCGCTTAGAAAAGCAATTGTGTCACCAATGGCACCAGCAGGAATCATGTCAGTGACTTTACTAGAAGGTACATTTGACCCTTACGACTCTGAGTGTGCTTTCTTCATGCATTTGTGCTTTCATGCACTTTGTTACTTCCCCACAACAGAAAAATTACTACAGTAGGTTTTAATGTGTGCATAGGTGAGGATGTAGAAACAAAATCACATAAGATTATTTAAGAAATATTTCTATACTTCTTGGTGTCAATCTAATTACCTAAAGCATTAGATTTCTGTGGAGGTAACCGAGGAGGCGGCGGTCTGGGTGGAACCTGAGATGCAGATTTTGCTGGACTCTCTGATGTTGGGCATCTCTTGATTGTCCCTTGATTATCATTTTCAGAAGAATGAGTTTCTTGGGGGATAAAGATTTTAGGCTGAAAAAGACATAGCAATAATAGAAACATAATGAAAAAAGATTCAAAGCACCCATGCTACTTCTCAATGAGAAGGAAAAAAAAAAAAAAACAAACCACGTGCAGTATCTGGATCCTGGAATTCTCACAAGTAAATTGATAAAGCAACATGTTCTGCCATGCAAATTTCTTTCAAAAACAAACTATAAGGAAATGCATAGCAATAAGGAAAACCTTGTTATCGACAAAGGACAAATTAAAAAATTATTGTATTCAAGTCATGCATTAAACCACTACTGGGCATGTGGAAATGCCACTGGTTATGACTACATATAACCAAACCAGACATTTAAGTAGAAACTAGGGAACATTCAATGATATGGGCAAAACTTTGTGTAAAGAATGCCAAATAGGGGATGTAACCACAAAGGACAATGTTGTTTAGACACTGGCTGCACTAATGCTGCTTGTAAAATCCTTCTCAGTTATGCAAAGATAGTAAGCACAGGGTGGTAAGTAATCAAACCTGCAGTTTTTGCCTGGGGAACTGACAGCTGGACAAAAAAATAAAAGTTTTTTTCTTTTTATTTTTGCTCATATCAAGATAAATTCAGTGTGAAAAGATTCATTTAACTCTTCAAGAAGCAGCATGCAAACCCCAATATGTGATCCAGGCATGCCTCTGAAGGTCACCATTCAGACATTAAAAGTTAGCAAGCAGCTTTATTTGGCAGCTCTTTATTAAAAAATTATTCGTGGCATTGTATTTTTTAACTACACAGTTTATTCGTTCTGAAGTATCAGAAGCGCAATTAGTCAGAAACAGCACTTTCACACTGACAAACGCCCTACAGGGCAGACTTCAGGCAGATTTGCAATTAAAGGCTATGAACATATAGGTCAACCTCCTGGATATACCCTTGACTTAAAACTCAATTCAAGTCTTCACAGAATCACAGAATGGCCTGGGTTGAAAAGGACCTTAAAGATCATTGAGTTCCACCCCCCTGTCATGGGCAGGGACACCTTCCACTAGCCCAGGTTGCCCAAAGCCTCATCCAGCCTGGCCTTGAACCCCTCCAGGGATGGGGCATCCACAGCTTCTCTGGGCAACCTGTTCCAGTGCCTCACCCCCCGCACAGGAAAACATTTCCGCCTAATATCCAACCTAAATCTCCCCTCTCTTGGTTTAAAACCATTCCCCCTCGTCCTGTCACTATCACCCCCCATAAATAGTCGTTCCCCCTCCTGTTTACAGGCTCCCTTCAAGCACTGGAAGGCTGCAATGAGGTCTCCCCGGAGCCTTCTCTTCTCCAAGCTGAACAAGCCCAGTTCCCTCAACCTTTCTCCATAGGAGAGGTGCTCCAGCCTCTGATCATCTTTGTGGCCTCCTCTGCACCCATTCCAAGAGCTCCACGTCCTTCCTGTGCTGGGGACCCCAGGCCTGGACACAGTACTCCAGATGGGGCCTCACAAGAGCCGAGTAGAGGGGCACAATCACCTCCCTATCCCTGCTGACCACCCCTTTTTTAATGCAGCCCAGGACATCACTGGCCTTCCGGGCTGCAAGCGCACACTGCTGGCTCATGTCCAGCTTCTCGTCCACCAGGACCCCCAAGGCCTTCTCCGCAGGGCTGCTCTCAAGTCATCAAGTCATGGCTCAAGTGAGTGAATCATCAGTATAGCAATTTAGATACTTCTGCATTTGATTATTTAAAGTGCCCTTTTATTCTAGGCAACAAAATCTCTCTCACCTTTGGCGGTAAAGGAGGTGGCACTTTAGGTTTCATGGTAGCACTATAAAGAAAAGAAACAAACCAGGTTGTTATCCAGTGCAGCTCTTTGAACCTCCTATTGCAGTGTCCAAGAGGACGCAGCATTTTATAAATGCCATAGAAATAAACACCATTAACTTGTCAACAGCGCAATTACATCTAAACTACATCATGAATACTTTCAAATGCTTTGTTAACTGCGGTGCATACCACAGATACTATCTGAAAACTCAAGTATCACAGATCCTCCCTTGAAAACACAAAGTCCCATGAACCCATTTGTTGAAAATGCACATACTTGTGCAGAAAAAAAGTAGGAAGACGCAGAGCAGGCCTTAACTTTTCTGTGCTGAGAGGCGAAAGATTTAGGATATCAGTGAGCTTTCCTAAGGGGCCATCTGTTGGTATGTGGGCAAAGGGGAGCTACAAGAAAACTGATGAAATACCATTCCTTGAAAAATTTACCACTGACTTCTTCAGTTTTACACGTGAAAGCAAAATCCATTTGCAATGGACAGCTAGCCCGCTGTCTGGGTTGTCTTGCGGGTTTTTTTTTTTGCCTTCAATGAGTTTCTTCATAGAAACCTTAAGAAAGAAAACTTTTAATACAAGAACAATTCAACAGCTTGGCTCAACAGTACAAGACACCAGCAGGAAACAAGGAAGCCGAAGCATCAGGAGCATTCTTCCTTTGGCGGTTCTGTGTTTTAAAAAATATGCTGCATTTAAGAAAAAATCCTAAATTCCTAAATTCTTCATGTATTTAAAAACTCTTACACTGTCCTGTTTCCTAATCTTTTGGAACAGAAAATTCTTTTCATTAAACATATTAAGAATACAATTGTGGAAACTTGACATTATTGCACAATATTTTCCTTATTTTTAAAGTATTTTCCAAAGTTCTGTGAAAATATCCAAATAGTAAGACATCTGTTTGCTTGTTTACAGATGAACAACTTGTCTGCTTTGCTTCATTCTTTTCAGGAGTTTCTGTCAGGGCGTTTTATCACAGAATCACAGAATGTCAGAGATTGGAAGGGACCTCGAAAGATCACCCAGTCCAATCCCCCTGCCGGAGCAGGACACCTAGATCATATCACACAGGAACGCATCCAGGCGGGCTTTGAATGTCTCCAGAGAAGGAGACTCCACACCCTCTCTGGGCAGCCTGTTCCAGTGCTCTGTCACCCTCACTGTAAAGAAGTTTTTCCTCATATTCAAGTGGAACCTCTTATGTTCCAGCTTGAACCCATTGCCCCTTGTCCTGTCACTGGATGTCACAGAGAAGAGCCTGGCTCCATCCTCCTGACACTCACCCTTCACGTATTTATAAACATTGATTAGGTCACCCCTCAGTCTCCTCTTTTCCAAACTAAAGAGACCCAGCTCCCTCAGCCTTTCCTCAGCAGGGAGATGCTCCATTCCCTTCATCATTGTGGTGGCTCTGCGCTGGGCTCTCTCCAGCAGTTCCCTGTCCCTCTTGAACTGAGGGGCCCAGAACTGGACACGATATTCCAGATGCGGTCTCACCAGGGCAGAGTAGAGGGGGAGGAGAACCTCTCTCGACCTACTGACCACGCCCCTCCTGGTACACCCCAGGATGCCATTGGCCTTCCTGGCCACGAGGGCACAGTGCTGGCTCAAGGTCATCCTGCTGTCCACCAGAACCCCCAGGTCCCTCTCCCCTGCACTAGTCTCCAACAGGTCAGTACCCAACTTGTACTGGTACCTGGAGTTATTCTTGCCCAGATGCAAGACTCTACACTTGCCCTTGTTAAATTGCATTAAATTTTTTCCCGCCCAAATCTCCAGCCTGTCCAGGTCTCGCTGAATGGCAGCACAGCCTTCTGGCGTGTCAGCCACTCCTCCCAGTTTCGTGTCATCAGCAAACTTGCTGAGGGTGCACTCTACTCCCTCATCCAAGTCGTTGATGAATATATTGAATAGTATCGGTCCCAATACTGAACCCTGGGGGACTCCACTAGATACAGGCCTCCAACTAGACTCCATCCCATTCACCACAACTCTCTGGCTTCTGTTCTCCAGCCAGTTCACAATCCATCTCACTACCAATTGCTTTTATTCCAGAGAAACTGGAGGGGGACTTCTGAGAATGGATTACCCTATATCATGCACTTCAGCTGCTGTGGTGGTGGAAATTTTCTTCTCTTCATAACACGGGACCAAGCTTAAGTCCTCAGTCTTGTGCGTCCAAGCTCCACTTGTATTTTCTTTCATACACTTCCCTGCATCTCAGACAGCCATCACAGTGCTATTAGTCAGCCAAATGTGAAAAATCAAAAGCCAACGGTTTGGTATAAATGTGACAGACATTTGTACAAAGGGCTGTGTGCCCTAGTTTCAACAGCAAGGTTTATGTGCAGTTTGTCAATGCTGATCATGCAGGGCAGTGCCCCAGTAATTTCTGTTTTCCTGGGTTCCATAACCAGGAAGTTCAACCACAGCCAGTTTTGCTGCACATGAGACAAAAAGAAATATCAAAATGATCAAAATCATTAAATGAAGAGAGATAACTTTATATTGTTCCCTGAAGCATGTGGATTCTCTGCTGCTATGAATCGCCCAGCTTCAGAATCATGCAGTGGCATCAGCTTGGACTGGAAGGTGTACAGGTGCTTCATTGTTTTTGGTGTGGATCTGGAGGGAAAAGTGACCTATGTCATACGTGCTCTTCAACTGCAGCTCCATCTCACAGAATGGGCTCCAGAGAAAGATATCTGAGACCAAGCTGATGAACCAACATATTGCAACAGAGCTTTGGGCTCAAATAGGTACCAAGAGGAAAGGCACAGATGCAGAATCTGTCTGATACAAGACTCTTGCCCCTCTCCGTAGGGCAAGAACACCTAGGATGAAATATGGGAAGAAACAAAAAACACCAGGACTTTTTGGAAGACCGTTGGTGACCGTCCTTATGGTCAGACAAATTAGAACCTCTCTGGAAGCTAGCAGGTTCTTTCTTGCTTAACCTAAAAAAGAAAATCCACAGAAACACGACAGTGACAGAAGCTCCTAAAGTCAAAGCTGTTTGAAAGTTCTGAGGGAGCTCGTGCAAGGAACAAGGATCTCAAAAGCACTGGAAAAAAAAAATAAAAATCAGTGCAAGCTTCAAGACAACAGGAATCACGAGATCCCACGCCCTGCAATATTACTGAAGTTGATGATCCTGGCTACAAACAGAGCAAGAAGCGGGGGGGCAAGGAGAGTGGGGGCAGGCAGGGGGCAGAAAGGAACATTTAGCAAAAATGAACAGAGATGCAGAGCTGTACACAGAAAACATCCAGAGATTTCTATGGATGGAGGAATCAAGCTGAGCTGGCTTGCAGCAGCACAGGTATCCAGAGCATCTTCACTGAAGGCCATCAGAGTGGAGCTGGCACTATGGAGCTCCAGAGGACTCTTATATCCTTCAGTGCAGGAAGCCTGAGTTATCATTACCCAGGTCTATCCAGCTATGAGCAAAGCAGGTTTTCAGCTTGGTACAAATGCAAGGGAGCAAATCAGTGAGTAGCATTATCAACCTCTTCCTCTCAAAGACGAGACACATGAGTTTCATATTATTGATAAACTGTATAATCAATCATGCCTTGAAACAACTGCTTAATAATGAAATATGAAGAATTTCTTAAGGAATTAGCGAAGGAATAAAGCCTGCTAAAAATTTACTAAAAATAATTTTTCTTCTGTAAATATCACTTGCATCAAACAGCAAACATACTTGTGTTTGGAAAAGTTGATCATTAAACAACGCAAGTTTAATGGACTAGCTGACATCAGACACTACCAGTAGTTTTACCCTTTTTGACGAGGGCTGTCCCTTATGCTCACAACAGTGATAAAAAAACACTGCCTTTGCTATAAAAGAACAGCAGTAAAATAACTCAAGAAAAAAAAAAGAGAGACGTATTTGGTTCTCTGTAAGAGACAGATGCCAGCAGTAGGTAACAGCACGTTTTACAGGTTTCTGGTATGAAGCAACAGCTTTCAAAATTATCCATTAACAGAAAGTAAACAAGAATTCAGTGTCAATGGCATCTTTATTTAGGAATGTAAATTTCCACATACTGGCTGTACATTTTGAATTGTTTCAGCTCTCATCTCTAAATCAAAAAGAGTATAAGAATACTTATACCAGTGGAACTTAATATGAGTACAATGAATTTAACACATGCTGATTTATATTGTCGTATAACCTTGCTCTCTCTGGTAAGGGAGCCAGCACTATTCCAAAATCAAGCACCCATACAAGCATCCTCCTAGCTGAGAATGGGGACCGAACAAACTCAATCATCTAGAGAAGACTGTTATGTACATACTTTCTGCATTTATAATGAGCTGTATTTTAATATACAGTCATCAGTTCTCAAGAAGACACCAGGACCAGGGTCAGACAAATGACTGGCTCAACATGACAATGCCAAGATTTTTGTTCAATAGAATTTATCACAAGTTTATCAGCAGAATAAGAAAACTTCTGGTGATGTTATCTAGAAACAATATTAAATGCCTATCTTTAAAAATGCTATAGAAGAAGAATCCTGAGCTATGATGGACAGAACATGATTCACCTTTTCTTAAAATTTTTATCTATTCAAGGATAAGCTTTCATATCTATTTATTTATTTTTTACAAGAAGAAAGGACTTACTGTTTAGCATCATCATTTGCATCATCATCATCTTCTAAATGTGCCACATGTCCCCTAAAAAAATGAACAAGGTACTATGGCTGAGTTGTATTAAAATTACCATGGTTACTGTGAAAAATTCTGAGCTCAAGGGCTACTGCCTCTTTTTCAGAATTTTACTGTCTTTTAGCTTTTTATCATTATTATTATTTAAAGCACAGCTGCAATCCATACAACTAAGCCTCTCCCATATCCTCTCAGAATCACAGAATGTTAGAGATTGGAAGGGACCTCGAAAGATCATCCAGTCCAATCCCCCTGCTGGAGCAGGAACACCTAGATCAGATCACACAGGAACTTATACTGGTACCTGGAGCTGTACTCTCAGCAAGTACAGGGACAAACAAGAACTAGTTGTGACAGACATAAGAAATCAATGCACAAATTACTTTGAAATACAAAAGACGAAAAAAAAATAAAATTACCGCTGATGCAGTTCTTCTTCAACCGATTTTAAGAGACTCCTTTAGCATTAAATAAGAATAAGAACACAGTTTAATTGTGGCACACAAATTAATTATCAAAAAGCCAGAGCAAAGGCTCCTGTGATTCTATCAGTAAACAATCCAAAGCATGTTATTTCAGCTGGCTTTCAGAACATACTTGATCATCTACACGTGAATATAGTTGCATTTTTTTTTTTTACACAACACACTTCCCTATGAGTTTATTAATGTATTGTTGTTAAGTGCATTGGTCCTTGTTCCTTGTACTGTGAAACACTGACGACTGAGCTTGATCCAATTTAAACCATCCACACTATCAAAGAAAATCATAATAATAAAAAAAAATAAAAATCAAACTGACAAGAGGATTGAACTACTATTAAAATTAATTCATTTTTCCCTAGGTAATTTTTGTAACATTCTGAACTTCTTCCTTTTTGTGTCTTTATCTGAAAACGCAGACAGGGAGGAACAGCAGGCAAAACACAGGGAGGAGAAACAACAGGATTTTGGAAGATATCAGTATTCCTATTTTCCCCAACCAAAAGATTGCAAAAAATATTATGTTCTATGCCTAGATTTTCTGCATTTTTTTAATATGATTTAATTTAGCAAAGCTAGGCATCCTAATTCTGACATGCATAAATGTAAATTAAGAAATTGTGTGGAAAAGAGGAATCACATGGAAAACTATTTAATATAATTAATACAACAAAACTACTAAATGTATTAACATGAAGTTAAAAGGATGTTGCTGAGACAGGCAAGTTTTATTTTTTAAAGCATCTAGAATTGAATGTTCCTAGAGTCCTCCAACGTGAAGAAGGGCATAAAGCAATGTCAAAGAGCAGCACTGATGGGGTAAAGTTGTGCTCTGTGGGACTTACGCAGAACATTTTGTTGATGAGCAGACCAAGATAAAAGCTCTTAAAAGGAATCTTACAGCACCACAGAGACAATATGGTCAATACAACCTCAAATAATGAAAAAGTGCTGTAATTCTATATCATTGGAATTACTATTATTTTAGAAATAAATAGTGATTTTGGAATTGTAACTGATGTAAACAAGCTTGACATATTTTACTACATACATTTCAGCTAATGCGTTTAACACACATTTGTAACTTTTATATTAGAAGTCCTGAATGTATTAAAGACAGAAAATGCCGTTGCTTACTCACTTATTTGCACCCAAGAAGTAGCCACACTGAGGACCATGACCATATTCTAGCTGTAAATCCTACAAATATAAGAGAACAAATCTTTAAGACGAACAGGTGAGCATCAAATACAAACCCTGTGTCATGCTGCCCCTCTACCATACCTGAGCTACCAAACGAGCTCCTTCCTCTGACCTTCCTGGCCCTTACCACCACTGTCACGCCCACTGTACCCCCCAAAAAATCTCCTCTCTGCCACTTTGCTACATCTCTAAATCCTTTTAAAAGTCTGACCTTAGCTCCCTCCTTGGACACACAGATACTTTGCTCCGATAAAGTAAGCTGCTGAAAAGGAAACAAAACAACAACAAAAATACAATTTAGAAAAAAAAAAAAGAAACAACAACAAAAAAACCCCAAAGACTTCATCATCTATCAGACCCTGTAGAGAACCCAGCCACCTCTCACTGGCACACTATAGTATTCATTTCAGATGGAGAGTAGCTCTGGCAGGGAGCCTGAAATGTCTTTAGCACACGGGGATGTTACAGAAATAAGCAGAGAGTAAAAGAGTTTTTCTAGCTCTGGTTATAGCTATAATAAATATAGCTAAATACACATATTTTAAGTATAACTATATACATTCTCATGTATACTTTTAAATCACCGTTTGTACCGAAAAGGAAAAAAACCAATATGAACAGCAAATTCAAGCACTCAAGCAACCATGGAGCATGGGCTACTTGGAAAAAGAAGTGGTAGCAGGCCTTCAACACTATTATTCGTAGATGCTATAGAGCATACAAATTTAATGCATTAATGGGAACACAGGGACCACACTGAAGGACCATCAAATCTGCGTCTGCCAGGAGGATACTGCTACAATTCCAGGTTATTTTATTCCTCAGGTGGATCACAACAGGAAAGATCTGAGCATTTGCTCCCAAAATACTTGAGTGTATTCACCAGGAGAAAAGAGGTATTGATCCCCTAAGTTAGTGATAAATGGAGTGCTCCTTTCACAGAAACATTTTAAAGGTCTCCCAACATCTTCTGCTGAACAACCTCTTTCAGCTGTAGCCTGTATCAAAAGCATGCCATCCTTCACGAAGATGCCCACATACCCAACCCACAATAGCAATAAACTTAAACAACAACAGCTCATGGGGCTGACCTCTCAAAAAGGCATTTTTAAAATTCAGAGGAAAACTCTCGCACGGGACTTGCCAGTGCTCCAAGCTGACGAAGCAGAAGCCACTGCAGCTTTCATCTCCAGACTGAAGGGCAATCACTTTAACTGTTTTCTGCTCGGCAAGGAGTTACAGGTTGTTTCCTGAACCCTCAATTCTGTTCTGTAAAGCTAAGTAGTAGTTTCTGCATGGGTGTTTCTACCACAGCTGCCGGTAGCCGTTGATTGTTTCAGTGACTTCCCAGAGTTTCCCAAGACAAGTGATACACTGTGGAAAATGTCCAATAATTACTTGATGTAAAAGAATGCATAGATCAGATGGTTGAATAAAAGTTGCAAAGGCAAGGCCAATGTTGGTTTTTCCTGAACCATAGAGAGACTGGCTTTTCAATCTTTGTGCAAACTTTATTACCCAGCTTTTTTTCTAGAACTCAATTAAGAAACCCCCAAAGCCCATCCACTTCTATGGATGTCTCACAAGGGCCACAGGATTTTTCCCCAGACATCAGTCAGTGGAGCTAGAAAGTTAGGTGACAGGAAAGGAGGGCTCACAAGTGGCCATGCTGGCGGGGAGGAAGGCTCCCTCCTCTCCAGGTACGTGTCCTGGGCTCTGCAAGGTAGCAGGTGGAAGGGGTCAGGCCTCAGTCACAGGTATCTTTGATCCTTCCTGCTACCTTTATCTTCCTTCTTCACAGTTTCATCCTCCTCCTGTGCCCCAGTCTTGACTCCTCCTGCTCCTTGCTCTAAGCAAGCTGAGCAAGTCTCCTTCCCTCAAGAAAGGCCGTTCCAGGTCCTCCAAAATTCCAGTCTCTTCATCACTCCCAACATCTGTCACCTTATCCAGGCAATTCCTTTCTAATGGTCCTCACCACCAGTTGATGTACTCCCATCCACCACAAAGGAACACATTTAACTTTCTTTACTGTGAGTACTTATATTACTTCTACGCAATCTCAAAATCTTCCACATGTAAGCACAGTTATTTTGAAGATTCAGGCTCCAGAGCAGAAAATAGTAAGTCTGGAAACCTAAGGTGCCACCAGACTCACAAACAAGGAGGTAAAACAGGTTGGTTGAGTCTACATAAGAGGACGCCAGAACGAAGACTGGGAGGCTGTTGAGAAAAACAACCCCGGATCCGAGATCTTCACCTTGAAGTGACAAGCATTTTGTCTACATACTGCAAAATCACATTAATCAAAAGTGGGAAATGAAGATCTTCTGCTGGGCAGAGCCAAAACATCTGTCCGTTTGAACTTACGCACCCTGCAATGCATGGCTATAATACTGTACAGCAATGACAGGAAGATCAGTAAGAGAAAATAAGCATACCCCTCTTAAAACATAAGGAGTTTTCCCCTGTCACCAGAGTTTTTAAGCTTTACTGGAATTTTCTTTATGAAAAATTACATTTGTCAGAATTACTTATGTTTAAACACTTCAAAAGGACAAAAGCTTTGCTTTGATTCGGTTTACTATTTTGCTGCCTATTAGCATTTATTTCACTATGATTCTAATTGTAAATGTATCTTTTTTTGCCTTAACTAGCTTGTTAGTGTTCTTCTAAGCCCTTTAGATCTTGCTGTTTTTCACTCCAAATGTGAAATAACTCACTGCTAGGGAAATTCCTCCTTGTGCACTCCACAGATAAATATTGAGAGCTAGAGAGCTTTTAAAAAAGTGCAACACCTTTGAAAAAAAGGCAATGCAGGGAATAATTACCAGTTCTTCTCAACAGCCCGGGTAATAATAAATGAAAAAAAAAGTCACGTAGAAAGGCAAATCACACCTTCAGATAAATCACGTGTGCAAAGTAATCAATGACTAAAAAAAGTATAAATATTTCCTCAAAGCAAACACAAATTTGGTGGTAAGGCCATGCTACGAAACCAGTTCCCCAGGAATGATCAAATCTACAATCCCTTCTTCAATTCAAACTTCAAAAGCTGCTTTTTATTTTCTGCAGAATTTCATGATGAATTAATTGTTACAGTAATTTGACAAGTCTTAATGTCCCTAATTTGTTCTGTAGGGCTGAGCTGTACTGGAAATCTATTTCTAGGTGTGCAGTCCTTCAAAAACCAGAAGAGAATATATAGGGTGAACCTGCAATTCACAGTTACTTCCTACATTTGCTGTTCCTGAAAGCTAGTGGGAAGCAAGACCATTGGGAGTGGCAAAATTAAGACTTTAAATCCACAAAATTCTGGGGAATTAACTGAATTTCAAAGAATAAAAGTCACCTTTGGACTACTGCCTCCTAGCAATAGAATTGAACATCTCCTCAATTACATTTGCCAAGGCAGAAAATACCCAAAACATACATGGAAGGAAAATAAATTTTAAAAACCACATCTCAAACCCTTAGGCCCTTTTCCCCCCATTTTCACTTCTTTTCTTCTGATCATAAGGATCACACATCATTTCATTACCTAAGCTGAACAATATACAAAGACTCTCTGAAATTCAGCATCGATAGCCAACATAACTCTAAAAGCATACTGCAACTAAGTAGGATAGGAGTCTTCATGGCTTGTAACAAAGGAAAAGCACATGCATGCACGTGTAGTGAGGAGAAAAGTGACTTAAACCAAAGAAAAAGGCTTCTGGGCAAAGTTCTCTATTATCTGTGTTGACTTCTTTAAATCCATCTTCTCCTACCAATATATTAACTTTTCTGCCACAAATAATTAACTAACACAGAATAGCTATGCTGAAACATTGCACTCCTAAAATTAAGTGTTACCAAAAGCTATCACAAATTATTAAACCCAGGATATATTTATAAGCCAAAACAAAAAAACCAACCATGACCAAATTATTCAAATAGGACCAAATGTATAAATGCATCTGGCAAATACAACAGTGCAGACTGCATGCTAACTGCAAACCTCTTACTGAATTCTTTGCTAAGGAAGTCTAAAATTAACATTACGCTCCTAACAATTGAAAACAATTGTAGGTTGGAACCCAAGATATTAAATCCAAGTTCTGTTCAAATCCTCTGTCAATTTCTAAAATGGCAGAATTCAACACTGTCCCAAAAAAGATGAGGTGGGAAGGAACCTCTGGAGATCTCTAGCCTGCTCCTGCTTAAAACAGAGGCAGCTTCCAAGCTACATCCAGAGATTAACTTGGGCTTATCCAGCTAAAGCTTGAATCCATCTCAGGCTGGAGACAACCAAGCATCTCTAGGCTCTGTCCCAGGGCTGCACAGCCCCCATGGGAAGGAGCAGGTTCCTCATGGCCAAAGTCTGCATTGCTGACACTTGTGCCTGTTGCCTCTTGTCCTTTCACTGGGCACCTGAGAGGAGTCTAGCTCTGTCTTCTCTATAATGCCCTGCAGGATAGCTGAAGACAGCAGTTACTTTCTCCAGGCTACAAAGCTCTGTTCTTTCAGCCTTTCCTACTGTGCTATTTGCTCCATCACTTGAAAAATCTTGGTGGCCTCCTGCTGGCTTCCCTCCAGTCCGTCAATGTCTTTGTCCTGCAAAGCCCAGAAGTGGACACCACATGCAGATGTGGCCTTCCAAGTGCCAAACAGAGGGAGTAACCCCCTTTGGCTCCACTGTGGTTGGCCACTGTCGTGGTTTCACCTGGGGCAGAGTTAATTTTTCTTCATAGCAGCTAGTAAGAGGTTACATTTTGGATTTGTGCCAAGAAGGTCGCTGATAACACGCTGATAGTTTATAGTTCCTTCCAGGACAGTCAAGGACTTTTCAGCTTCTCTGCTTTGCCAGTGTTTACAGGCGCCGGAGAATCTAGGAGGAAGCACAGCCCCAATTACCACGCCAGGATTCGACCTTAGGTTTAGGATTGAGACCCAAATTGGCCAATGGCCTATTCCATACCACGCATGTCATGCCCAGCATATAGATGAGGATCAGTCCAGAAGTTCTCTTTCTTGGGGTCATTCTCTCTCTCTCAGTTGGCTCTTGGTCTCTTGGATGCTCAGGCTCTTATCTCTTTTCTAGGGTTGTGGTTTCGGGACTCTCTCTGCTCTGGGATCATTAGCCAGTAACAGGCTGATACTTGGTCTTCATGTAGCTAGCAATTTTACTGTGCATCACTCATTTGTATATTTGTATATGTTACTATTATCATTATTATTTCAATGTTATTGTAGTTGAGTTATTAAATTGTTCTTATCTCAACCCATGAGCCTCTTTTCCCTTCACCCCTTTAATTTTCTCCCCCATCCTTGGCGGGGGGAGGGTGAGTGAGCAGATGTGTGGTGTTTCACTGCAAGCCAGGTTTAAAACCACAACAGCCACTTATGATACCACAAGTGTGTGCTGCTGATGGGTAGTCCCCTCCTTGTCTGCTGGGACCTCTAAAGCCTTTTCTACAGAGTTGCCCTTCCCACCCCCAGCCAGCTTGGCTTCATCCTCAGTCTCTTCTTGTGCATGTGGTTGGTCTACCATAGCTGTAGGACTTCTCGGTTAGCTGTGTTAAACCCCACGGGGTTTTGCTGTCTACTCCTCCAGCTTGTTGAGGTTCCTCTGACTAGCAGCCCACTGTGGGTTTATTTTTTTTTGTTAAGTGCTGAGAGTGGTCTCATAATAATAATATTGGCCAGCTACCTCAGCACCTTGGATGCATTCCACCTGGTCTCAGTCTGCATCATATTAACTGATTTGTAACACTATAACTAGTGATTTTTTTTTTCTTTGTGTTGCGGGAAAAAATAAATGTTTCTACACTGGACTTTCTTTAACTTAGCCTGTAGTATTCAACACACAGATTCTCAGATGGTATTTGTAACTTGACGAGGTATGCAGCTCAGTCTGCCGTATAGGAACTGGAATTATTTTTCATCTCACTATGAAAGGGAAGATTCTTTGACACAATATTTCATTGCAGATCAGGACAACCTGGATGAAAATATTTTTATTTACTCAACATGACCTTTTGTTTGAATCACAACAACAGTAAGCTCTGTTTCTCAGAAATGGCATTTCTGGGACCAGAAGCTAAATTCTCATACAGATTTAGTTTGACAGACCCCACCACTCATAAGTACAACACGTCACCTCAGAAAGGGGGATGCAGTTACACATACAGCTTTGCAGAAGCTGGGTTTAGCAGCTCTTACTCCCAGCTTCTCCCTACCCCAGACACCTCCCTTCACCACACTGACACAGCCATTTGCAATGCCACACAGGGAACCCAAATGGGGAACTGATCTGGTGGAAAAAATAACCTGAAAAAATTGCACATTTTTCCTCAGGACTGTTACATACTTGAAACTACTTCTGAACATATGCTTAACTACAGCAAAAACATTTCAACTGACAAAAAATTGGTCCTACTACGCCAACTCGTAGATTCCTGACAATGTCATTGTGGTGGCTGCCCCAATACAAGACGAACAGTCACACGTTTGGTTAGCCATTGGATTTACAGGTGCTTTCCCCAGGATCAATAGCAAAAAAACTGAAAAATTGTTCTATAACAAAGTTGCACACAATTTCAGAGTGGACTACTTTGATTTAAACCATTTACCAAGCTCCCTGCAAACACAATGCTCAGTTCTCCCACTTATTTGAGTCTGTAACCAAACAACTGCTTTTAAAGTACACTGAAAGTGAAAAATATGGAAGAAGCATTTGTTTCAGGTCTACCCTATGTAAAGTCTAATGTGCACGTAAGGTAAATTTTTTTTTTTTCCCCTTTTTTCTTCTTTTAGAGTCCAGCATACCTCTGCTGCTCCTGAGGCGAAGGAGACTGTCAGAAAACAGCTGCCAAAACACAGTGCAATGACCAGAACAGGAACATGAGGAACTTGAAATGACAGGAAGGAGTATATGCAAAAAAATCTCAAACGATGGAAGGTAACCAAGTTAAGTTCCTGACAAAATTGTCTAGTTGCAGAAAAACTAAAAAAAAAATCTATCCTGAAAAAAGAGAAGAACCTTGTACCTAGACAAAAATATTACATTATTTATTTAGCTATGAATCAAAGGGGTATATTTGTAGAAGATCAAAGAGAAGTACTGTCTTGTCCTTGTCTGTTTGCCATTTGCAATTTCCTGATAATTTTCTTTGTAGCACCATAAAGACACACAGGTCTGCAAAAGAGTTGTTGCTCATAAGGTATTTTATAAAACCAGAAGACCAGCATAAGAAAGAGCCTGACAGTAGCAGGTGACATATTATGCCTGTGAAAAAGTATAATCTTTTGCTCTTGATTACATTTGAAAAATCCACATATCACTTCTCAGTGAACATATCTGAACTCAATACCATCAGAGCAGGAGCGGGGAGTAGGGGAAGGAGAGAGAAAGTCTCATTAGTATGTCCTGGTCCACAACAGAAGAATGAACCAACTAGCAAAATATTTCTTCTCATTTCCAGAAGGATTAGTCTTACTGGAAAAATCTCACAAATGGGTGAAGCATTACCACCAAATCAGAATTCTGTTTGATTCACAAGGAGCACAGGTTGTGAAGAAAGCACCGAAACAAAGGAAGTGTGGTCGATTAACTTTAAAACCCCTCCCACGACTGTGATAACAACAGTGCTTCATAAGCTTTATCATAGTAATCATTTTTGAAGAGTGTACTGAACAGCATGGGTCAAAAGGATGGGAAAGGAAGTCCAGTTAGGAGACATGTTCTCATTCATCTCTTAGACCCACAGATACTAGGTTAGCAAGATATGCAAAAACACTGAAAGTAACCTGAAAAAGACAGATTTTAAAAGGTGTTAAACCGAAAAGATGAAACCAAAACCAAGCCAAACAGAAAAACCAAAACCACACTCCCAAAACCAGAGCAACTGCACAGGATGGAGGTGTTCTGACTGCATACAGAAAAATCTAAGCTACTATTCTCAAAACAATTTGCGAAACTATTTTATAATCAAGGAATACAGGAAGTTCCTTTCAAGAATGGAGAAGATAGTCTAAGCTTTCGGTAACGATGGTATTGGCAGATTCAAGTCACACCAAGACAACTGATGCCAGAACAAACAAACAAAATCCAAACAAAAAAATATCACATAAAAACCAAAACAAGACATTCCCAAAGACCCCAGTTTTCCATTTTCCCCTCAGTGCACGTCTATTAAACGTCTCCCAAATCACAGAAAGTTAGCAGAATAACGCTCTTCATCTAGCACAGAATGTTTCCTCATTTTTTTCAACATCATATGAAGACGGCCAAGATTTAAAAGCATTACTTTTCTAACTACATAGTGCCTAAAGAGCAGAGAAATAAGAAAACTCACTTTCTAGAGCAATTTCTATATTGCAATGCTAAAAACCAAATTTTTTAGCTGTGCAGTAAGACAAAATCTGGAAAATGTATCAGACTATAAACGATGCCAAATGCCACTGAAAACACTTATGACCCCACTTCCTGCTATTTGTATGAAGTGTATACTCATTCCGTAACATAACTATGTCTGGAGAATTCAGAGACATTTCTATAAAATTGTAGTCTTTCAATGAGACTATTTAAAGGAACTACCAGACAAAAATAAGATGAGAATGTCTCTTCTATTTTTAATCACCCTCCAAAAACAAGTTGTGCATTGCAAAGCGTTAAATAAAGAAATTAGAATGAGTGCATAATACTGAGCCCCTTCTACAAAAGTGATTCAACTAAACACAAATATGTTACTACATTATAGAAATACACGTATGGACTAATCCTTATACGGAATGGCTTTTACACAGATGGAAACACCAGTACAACAACAGGAGAAAACATGAGCTTTGAAAAAGGAAAACCAAGACAAAGCTAACACTGACAAAGAAAGGCATAAGATTAAAAATACCAGTTTAGATCTTGCAGTGTAGTATATGTCCTCTGAATCGTCCAAAAAATCGCTACTGTCAGGCTGTTCATTAAATAGAGATCAAGAAACTCAAGTTATTTACATTGCGACTTAAAGCCAGGTTTACATATAGGGAAATTTTCTTGCTAAAAAGAAGCTGTTAGTTGAAACTCAAATCACATTAAGGTAGTTCTGGGGATGGGGGTAAAATACAACTAAGGGTATGGTCACATTACCAAACACTGCCAAATCACACCAAAATAACGAATTCTCGTTCATCACCTGAGCTGTGGTAATGAGTAAACTGACTCATTAAGAGGCAAGTATGTACCAGTTCAACCTCTCAGTGCACCACCACCAATAACTCGTCATGCTGCAGTCGTCCAGTCCTTTGGCTTGGGCACTCATACCCAGAAGTCAATAAGCATTAAGTTTAGGCATGCTTTAGCGAGACAGAAGCAAAAAGGTCAGAAGAACTGCTGTAATGAAAAGGGATCTGCACTGTTATTGTTGGAGGAAGAGACAGGCATCTCTTGCTGCCACTTCCATTGAAAAGAGTTTCTCCCAGAGTGTGTAGATTGTTACAAATGTCTCCCTCAGCCTGCTTTGTACAAAGGTTCTTTGCTAGAGTACCCATTCTCTGAACAGATCTCGTTTGCATTTGACATGCCAATTGAAATTGTCCATTGGTTCTATATCTAATGACAGAATATGGTTTTTCTTTAGTCTCTAGACCCATCATTTTCAAAATTATAGTTCTGTTTTATCTGGAAAGGAGAGATCAGGGCTGCATGCTTCATTCTGATATGAGCAGTGGAGCAGTTAACCTCCCTCTCCAGAAAGATCCGAACAAGTAGTAACAGGTCTTCCTTACATAGATCAGGCAAGTTCTTTGGACAGATTTCAAATACGCAAACTCTGACAGGAACAGACAATACTAAGATTTCCTTAACCGCAGAATTAAACTGGATCACTCAAGTGCGTTCTTGGAGCAACAAGAGCTTCTGAGATTCCAAAGTGTAAAGGTCCTGATTGCTAATGCACAAGATAAGAAAAGGCTCCATTACTTCCTTCTGACAACACCTGCCAAAGAAATGCTCTCCGAAGTTGTGCTTTAATTGCTGTAGAAAATCTCTCTCCCCAGTTAAGCAACTCAAGTTCCTAAGGTGCAATGAAAACACTTCTCTGCCCCATGAAGTTGTCCAATAACTGGTTTGTATAGTCAGTGACTGATAAAACAAGAAAGAAATGGAAAATGTATTTTTTTAAACTTCAGCTTCTTCATTAACATATTTTTGCAATTATGATTCTGTGTGTGTATAAAGAAATAAAACTCTGAAGGGGAAAAATTATTATAATTTGAACTATATGATGCAACCCACTGTATTTTTTTTAACAATCCAGACAATGCAACAGGGAAGCAAGGAGAGGATAACTTGGAATCAGTCCAAAAATAATTTTGAGTTAACTGATGAGTTTCCGGTAGAAACACTGACGTCATTATCGTACTTAATAAACACTCGTATACCCAGGGCTCCTCAATGATGATGTTACGCAGTTATGTCAAGGTCTAAATAACAGATCTGAAATAACTGCCCAAGTTCTACGTGTGATTTGTAAGCTATTCTCCTCTGTCTTGAACAGGCACCAGAAACTGCCGACTACCTATTCAGCCAGTTGCCGAGGAAGAGCCAGATTTTATACAACCTCATACACCCACAGCCAGCTGACTCAAAGCTGAGGCACTGATTTTATTACAACTACAGAGCTATACAAGGAAATCTGCATCAGAAATCCTACTCACAGGTGGTTTGCAGACTACAGAAGAGGAAGTACATTCCTAGATACACACCCTTCCCAAAACCAACTCGGAGCAAAGCCAATGTTCCTCCCACCTATGTACTAAGCCAACTTTTTCACCTTAACACCTGCCTCAGAAAAACAAAGAGAACACAAGAGTCTGCTACAAGGAAGCAAAGGAGCGTTTTTTTCGTCTAGGAATGTGAAGAAATTGTCCAAGTGCTCAAATGTAGAAAGCAACAACCTCCACAGAAGAGAGGAAGCTACTGCAATTGTGTGTGTGACAACAGACACCTTTCCCCTCACTGCTTGAGTTCTCATACCCCTTATACTGATGAAAGAAAAGAAAACATAGGAGGAAAACATTGGCAATACACCTTTACGGAATACATCAACTGCCAGACCCGGCATGGCCCAGGTGTGGTTCAGGGCCACAGAAAAATTATTTGCACGGTGAAATAACCCTACAAAAATCCAGTATTTAAAAATGCATCATACCTCTTTCCCAGGCTCTCAGTTTTACTATTTCCATTATCATTGTCAATACAAGCACAAAGGAGAGAAACATTTGAGTACACACAGTAATTCTACAATTAAAAAAATAGCTCTATAAATAAAGGGAGAAATATACCTGGCAATGAGGTATGGAAGGATAGAGGAAGCCCACAAAGACAAAAAGCTGTTGCTTAGCACACACATCACACCTGGCAAAGCCCACAAATAAGGGGCCTTGCTGCACATAGCGTAATGGCACCCAAAAATTTAGGACCAATACATTACAACTAGTCAGAAAAATCACTACCAAGTTTAGTACTTCTAAGAAAGTAGGCTACACATCTTGGATTTTCCCTCCTCCACAGATATTTGCAAGTAATAGTGTCTAGAGCATAGCTCATGCTGCTTGTTACTCACAAATTCATGATGTGGCTCTGTCTCTTTCCTCAAGGGTGGATCAAATTTGACTTGACCAACTGAAGAGGAGAAAAGGAAAACAAGAATTTAAGTTGGACTGTAATTAGCCAAAATTAATCTCCAAAAGCTAACAAAAAAAAGAAAAATCCAGTTTAATGAGTGTATGATATCCCCACTGATGGCAACTTCTGCACTGCACACACCGAACTTGTACCTGCTAGAAACTAATGGGCCCCAAAAGTACTTTTCTCTCACAGAGGCAGCACAATGACCATCTGCCCCACCTACTCATTAGAAGGATCAGGAAAACCATTCAGCAAATAGAGCAGTGAAGTGCCCTCTTTAGAGGAGCAATATAGCTGTAATTTACAGAAAAAACATATCCAAGTGTGTGAATTCACGCTTGGATCTGTTCTTCTGGGAGATTCACTAGCGCTGAAGAACCTTGAATGAAGTTTGGAGAGAGCTATCACATCTTCCAGGACAGCTCTTTGGCAGATTCTCTTTAACACTCCTCCCCTCAATTTTAGCTTAAGAAAAGACAGCTAAAACTCAAAGTATTGCTCTGATTTAATTCAAACAGAAGAATGACTACAACTTGGGGGATGGAATCTGGTTTTAACGGCCAGTGATCAACCTCCTCCTTTCTTGATTGCTACATGACTGTATAATTTCAAAAGCAAAAACTACAACAAGATACTAAATTAAGGAAGAAAAGTCTTCCTCTGCCGCTCTGCTACCCAGCAGAACCCGGCATCACTCCGGATATCCTTGCTGCATATGGAGTGGCATACAAAGCTATACCAATCAGTTCTCAGAAGAGCTCAGGTTGTGTCCTGTTCAATTAAGACAAAACAATAGTGAGATTTGTTGAAATGCTGAAAAAGGGTGTATTCAAATATTTTACACTAATACTTCTTTTACATAGTCATCTAGAACCTATATCCGTAAGTGAAACAGTGTAAGTTTTGATTTTCCTACAGATCACTAAAAATGTTTCTATACATGTCAGATACCCAGAATAACAGTTGAAATAAGTGAATAGCAATGATCATTTCAAGAATATTTCATGTTGTCATATTACACATGCTTACAGTTTATTTCAGAACGTGTCTTCTCTTCTCTCACATTTCTACTTGTTGAATGAATTCTATGAGGCACAAGAGGCTAGAAGAGAAAAATAAAATGCTTCAATAACAAAATATAGTAACTTGAAACCCAGTATTGTGTACCTAGTTTTTAGCAGGTTTCTTTAGCATAATATCAAACAAAAAAAATAAATCAAGCGGAAGCTAAAAATAAAGACTGCATGTATGTTTTTCAACATTAAAGTTAGAATTATTTGGAGACATATTATCTGTAGAGTGTCTTCAACTTCAAGATAACACTTTTTAAAACACTGGATTTGAGCAAATAAAGACAATGCTGGCCAGCATTTGGTTTTGCTCAGATAATATTTCCTTTTTGCGTCTTTCAATTTAAGGGTATTACTAGTTTCCAAAATAAGCAGTAAGACTAAATCTGACTTACTGGCAGTATGACCTTCATTTACATACCCCAATCATTTTCCCAGCTTCTAACCTAAACTGATTCCTAAAAGGCATCCACTAGTTTCTTGAAGTAGATGAGAAGTTAGCCTGTGTTTTCCAGAGCTGAACAGAAGGGAGTATTCGTGGTACTTTGTGCTGTGTGACAAGACTGATTCCACCATTTCTACAAACTGTCCTTTTTATTTGCGTTCCACTTCTATCTTTTCCCTGGATTTCCACCTCCTCCTCTACAGGATTAAGTGTCATGAACTTTAAGACTTGCCTTTCTTTTCATTGTCCATGTTGGATTTTCTCTCTTCTTTCTATAGTCACTACTGCAGGTTCTCTTAGAAACCATAACTTAAGGTTTCCTAACAAGAGTACAAGACCAGCTGACTGCTGTATACAATCACGCCCCAAAATCAGCAACATAAATCTTAACAGTGTGCTCTCGGGATGTCCTCTGCAATGAAATTGTACTCTTCAGAAAAAAAGCTCATCCTCCACCTTAGCCCAAGTCCCCTCAGAAAAGCACACGTTTGGTCCGTTTCTGTGTTGAATATGTGGCAGCAAAACAAATTTTTAACTAAAGCAATCTGACACAATAGTGTCAGAACTTTGATGTGCTGCTACGTTAGCTTTGCTTTTATTATACACTACTTATAATCTTCACTTGGCAACTTTTGACTACAAAGTGAGGACAGAGTTAGAGAACTTCAACTGCTATACAGTCACATAGAGTCACCAATAGTTCAGCAGCTTTGTTTATCCCTTAAATGATATCTGAAAGCATTATTTCTCTTCTCCCCTTTTCATTGCACACTACTTCCTTGCTTTATCTTGAGATCCAACACATATGTACATAGTGTTTCACCTCACATTTATGTTCCTTTGGTCTTTTTTTTTTAAACTGAAGGGACTTACAGATTGTGGCTATGTATTTTCTCCCATGTATCCTGTAAGCAGTTTTTTATTTATTCTAATTTATGCCAAATCTCCCCTTCCTCAGTTCTGGTTTGTCTCCTGTGCATTCCTTTGAGCTTTAAAAACTGTTTGCCATAGCTCAGGATGTATTTCAAGGTTTGATCTGATCTTCTACTCCAGTATTTCCCAGAATCACAGAATGTTGGAGATTGGAAG